TCATGCTCTGTCTCTCTCTCCTTCAAAAATAAATAAACATTTAAAAACTTTAAATAAATAAAATAAAATTCTCTTCGTCTTTTGTGTGACTTTAGGGAAGAAAAGATAGAATCAGCGAGGACCATTAGAAAGTTAAGGCAATAATCCCAGTGACAGATGGAGACGTCTGGACAAAGGTGGCTGGGGAGAATGGAGGGAGTGGGCTCCACTCTGGTGCTAAAATTAAGGCAGAGCCAATGGCTATCTGCTGATGGATTTGTGTAGTTTTAGGGCAAAGAGTCAAAAATGACCCAAGGGATTTTTGTTTCTTTATCATTGTGAAAAATAATTCTGGACATTGGTAAAGAGACTTCATTCAAAAGGGTTATTGAAAGAGGGAGAAAAGGCAGGTCGGGGTGCCTGGGTGGCTCAGTTGGTTAAGCATCCAACTTCGGCTCAGGTCATGATCTCACAGTTTGTGGGTTCGAGCCCCGCATCGGGCTCTGTGTTGACAGCTCAGAGCCTGGAGCCTGCTTCGGATTCTTTGTCTCTCCATCTCTCGGCCCCTCCCCTGCTCATGTTCTGTGTCTCTCTGTCTCTCAATAATAAACAAACGTTTAAAAAAAAAAAAAAAAAACTACTACAATTGTTAACATTACAAATCACCAAATACCTAAAATGTGCTAAGTACTATGTGAATTACTATTATCAAAGAGAACACTGGACCAAGAACATATAAATTTTATGAAGATAATCAAGGACTAATTATAAAGAAACATATCAAAAATTTTAAACGCTCTGGCATTGTCATATATTGCTAATGATAAAACCAATTAGTGAGCAGGAGACCAAATGTATTAAGGTCTGAAAAAATGCTTATACCCCTAGGACAAATAATAACCAAACTGTTCCCTTTTCCTTCTGGACACATAGGAAGACAACATATCCCAGTCCTTTCTTCATCTAAAAAGGACTACACTACTGATTTATGACCAATGGAATGTGATGGAATTTATGGGGGCCATTTCTGTTATAAAAATCTCCCTCAAATGATCCTCCTCTCTTGCCATGCCCCAAGTCATGTATTGATGATAGCAGCATTCCAAAACAGAAGAAGCCTGGATACCTGAGTCACCACTTAGAGGACAACTGCCAATACCCTGCCTGATAAAGAACACCTGCATTGGACTTAGTGTAAGAAATGTATTATGTTATGCCACTGAGATTTGTGGTATTTGTTATTGTAGCTAGCATTAATCTTCAGATTAATATAACTGTTTTTTAGAAATGCAATATTTACAATGAAAAGTAAGAATGAAAAATTATATGACAAGGGCAGAATTTAGAGTCTTTTTTCCTCACCCTTAAAAATTATTTTAACGCTATTTGCGTTGTGCTACCCTATATAATTCCTGACTGAATCTCCTAATGAGCATATACTGGTATTGCAATTTAAAAAAAAAAAACAAAAAAAGGTGTTAAATGACTACTGTTTTAATAATGGTTTTTAAAAGTAATTAAAACCAAAAAGATAAGACATTGTTTGAATTTTTCATCTTTCTTTGCCAGAGGACAAAATTCAAATAAGCCTTTAGTACCTCTAATTAAAATAACGCCACTTTTTGTTAATATAAATAGACCTTCAATCACATCTTACCAAGTGTTATCACCTTATCTCAGTTGTTCCTCACAAATATCTGTCTTGCCAATTTCATAAGGCATCATCTCCACTTTACAAATGGGAAAAGTGCGGTTCAAGAAGACATGATCTTTGTCCAATGTCACACAGCTAGTCAATGGCTGAGCTAGACCTACTATGCATGTATTTCAATCCTAATCCAATATTCCTGTCATACACCATGCTTGTTCTCTTCTACCATCCAACATAGGTCAATGGATTATATCCAAGTACCTTTCGTCCAATATGTATTCAAAAGGTGCTTGTGATTTTGAATCAAATATTTGGTCTACTCTCAGAATTGTCACTTATGGAGCAGTCCACAGTACAATAGGTACAAATGAATTCAAGGAAACCATGGCATTCTTCTAAGAATGACGCCATATATACACAAGGAATTACCGATACGAGAAGACATAAACTGGTCCTAATTTTACCATAATATTTCAACAATTATATTTTAAAGAAAACAAAATTAGTATTGTATGCTGGACTCATATAGTATATTTTAATGATACCAACTAGAATAAAAACATTAATAGCTAACATGCATAAATAAATGATAAATTTATCAATTTAAGAACTATCCAAAAGCCCTGTTTCTTTTATATATGATATATGTAACTACTGCTCATTAAATATTTTCAGACAGTATGACAATTTTGCTTCCCAATAAGCAATAACAGCAAAGCGAGGGCACTGTTACTCACTTGTATTACGAAAGAATAAAAATGAGATGTAACAATCTGTAGGCAAGTCCACAGATTCTCTTACCTTTGTATATCTTTTCGGTATTACACAAGTGAAGTGTGAAGTAGGTGTCAAGGAGCTGATGGCCATTTCTATTAACAATATTCCGGGCAGCAATGTTCCGAAGGTGTCTAAGACGCCGCTAAAAATTAACAACAAAAAAGAGGGACATGTTCAGCTTTTTCCTCATAAAACTTTCTGAAAGTTACAATCCAAAAATGAAATACAGTTAAGCTATCCCATTTATTTGTTAACCCAGCAACCTTAACCCAGTCTCTTATTTATGATTTAGTATCCACTCTGTCAAATAGGAATTATACCTGCCCCATCTCCTTTATGGGGTTGTTGTGAGCATGAAGTGACAACAGATATAAAATATTTTCAAAAAGCATAAATGTTATATAAGTGCTATTTACCTGTAAAGAGCCTTAGTATTTCCTGGAACATAAACCAAGTAGTAATTTGTTTTCTTCCCTTCGGAAGGATACCGGAGACATGCAAGTCCGTCTCATACCAACAGACAAGCAGTTTTTACATACATATACCCCAGCTGCTTGTTCAGTCTAGATGCCAGATCATCTGTACGACCAGGAAAAGATGCTTAGCCAAAACACAACTCACTGGTCACTCCAGCCAGCCAATAACCCAACTGTTGTGAGCTGAAATTAAATCCTCACCTGACCAACAGCCACCCAATCTCTTTCCTGATCAGGCCTCCTGCCCAACAACTTCTCCAACTAAGATGCACAAATCATTTGGAGCCCCAAGTGTTGAAAAGGCAAATGCTCCATAAGCAACGGTAGAAATCAACAAAACTGGAAGTTAACAGACAGCCAAGTAATAGCATACCAAAAAGAGAAGATGTTGGCAGTGCTCAAGTCTGTGCCCATCAGATTCATTCCCAAAGGCTAGTTCCCTCTGTCAGATAATTATTTTCAGACTTAAAAACAGAAATCAAGTGCTCAGTTTTGTTTTTTAACTTTTTTTTTAACATTTATTTATTATTGAGAGACAGAGAGACACAGAGCATGAGCAAAGGAGGGGCAGAGAAAGGGGGAGACACAGAATCTGAAGCAGGCACCAGGCTCTGAGCTGTTAGCAGAGAGTCCGATGCGGGGCTCGAACTCACAAACCGTGAGATCATGACCTGAGCTGTCAGACACTTAACCGACTGAGCTACCCAGGCGCCCCAAGTGCTCAGTTTTAAAAAATGCTTACAGCTCTCCCTTCAGGCTGAAAGACAGCCCAATCTACTAAGGTAAGACCATCTTCAATTACATGTGCAGCCAGCCAGAAAAGTGCAGTTCTTTCTTTCCATGCACATACCAACCTAATCTTTTCTCCCAATCTAGCGATTAAGATTCTTTAATAGGGAAGGTTATTGTCTAATAAATTGGTTTAATCCTCTAAGTATGAAAAGCCCCAAATATATTTATGAAAATTTCCTAGGGCTTACTCTAAAAGACTCATTTTTCTACAATCTGCCAATGGTTTCCATTTCATACCCTGGATTACAGCAACTATCTCCTCCTATATATTTTTTTATTAGCCCTCTCACTCAAGATTTTAAATTAACAGGAACCACTAATTACCTATATACAATAACCACATCTATTTTGCTGTAAGACTGCGATCTTGATCTTCTGTTCGAAGACCTGAAAATATTACCCAAAGTCTCTAGAATGAAGTACAAACTTTCCATATTGCTTTCAAAGCCCTATACAATCTGACCTCTCCACATCCTATCCTTATTTTAGACTAGATCTTCCACATAGCCAACCCCTCAGTCACACATGAATGCTTAAGATCCCATGAAAAAGATAATACACGTTCCTAGCTCCAGGCTTTTGTTAATTCTAGCCCCGTCGATCTAAAATCCATTTTCTTAAAGGAGATCCCATTTCTACTTCAAAGTTTAGGAGAAAAGATTCCTCCTTCCTGAGTCTCTAACTGAAATTAGTTGCTCCTTTATTTGAATAAATAAGAACTTTGCTGCTTCTCTCCTAGAGCACTTATATCATTCAATCTAGTCTTAAAAGTCATTGGTTAGTTATCTTCCCTATTAATCTAGGAGGAAAAGACTTGATGACAGAGACAATTACCATCACTACACTATCAGCACTTATTAAATGCTTACCATGTGCCATGCACTGTGCTAAACACTTCATACATATGATCTTATTTAACCCTCATAACAACCCCATGAGGTTAGGTTTTACTCATTATTGTGATTCATCTCTTTATCCCAACATTCCTACAAAACCAAATATAAACAGTAAATAATAAATGAGCAGGATATCTCAAAAGAAGGAAGGAAAGAAGGCAGAGGAAAGCAAAGCGGTTATACCTATATACATAGGTATATACCATACACTATCTCCTATATATGTGTGTGTGTGTATATATATATATATATATATATATATATACACACACATGCACACACATACACACATGTGCGTGTGTGTGTATTTATAATTATAACTGATACAACTTGGTCTTTACACTCCCCTATTGCTATAGGGGACAGAGCAAGCAATGATCTATCCTTCAACTCAAGAGAATAATTTTATGACAAAATAATAATAACGGAACAGACTGCTTTACAAAGCAATGTGCAAGGCTTGGACAGAGACTGAATCTACAGTGGATACATAGATATTGGTGAAGAGATCTTTCTACTATCTAGGAAGTTGGCAAAACCAGCTTCAAGACACCTTCTGACTCCAAGCTCTAGATTCTAAAATCAGTAATGGAGTCTACAAACATTCACCCAAGGTATCAGTGTTGTTTCCAAGCTTCCCTCCACTCACACAGATAAAACAGAACTGACTCCATTGCAGCATTTTATAAGAAGATTTACAACAACAACAACAAAAATTCTTCCACAAATTAACCAACTATAAAGCACTGACTTTGGGTTGTACAACTTTTTACCTTTTCCCTTATTTTATTTATTTCAAAAGCAGTAGGTAAGTATTCTTATTACACCATGATTAAACTACAAGATGCTCCCAGTAGCTAGGACAAAGGAAATTAACCATTTATGAGTAAAATATTGATGTCATCTTGGTGAAAAGGTAGTAAATGTACACATGAACCCTCTTATGCCCTTTGTCTTGGCTTCCTCTTTAATGACATTCATTCCAATTTTATCATAAAACTGCTTATTATTCCCCTAATGTTAACATTAAGGGAAACTGAATGAAGGCAATTCTCTGTATTATTTTTGCAACTTTTCTATAAATTTAAAATTAGTCCAAAATAAAGTGGTTTTTTTTTTAAGCTATTGCCTTTTTCAGAGTTAGGAGGTGGGTATTAGGACAAAAAGACCACCAGTAAGACAACATTCACAAGCACTATGTAAGTGGAGCTCTTCTCCATTCCCACCACTCACCTCCTCCCTTTAGTCCCCACCCCCCTTCTGTCTTCCTCTCCTCCCCCTAAGACTTCATGCAGTTTAAATGAAACACTGGAAGGTTAAGCCAGAAACTCATAAAAATGATTACCTATGGGGGTGAGAGCAAGCTGAAGAGAATACAGATAAAAGCAAGACTTCCCTGATACTTGTTTACATAGTTTTGACTTCTGTACCATATAAGCGTCTTACATACTCAAGAAATAAGTAAGAAAAAGTTTAAACCCAACTAAACTTAGTCCAAAGTATAATAGCAATACCAAAAATTACCACAAGTTTTAGGATATATCATCTACCTTCACCCAAACTATTACCCTATGACCCAATATTGTATTAAAGTATTGAAAAAATCAGAGTGACTTAAAGGATCCTTTCTTGCCCTCAGTTCCCCCATAAGAGCTATACTTGCAAAACGTAGAAATAGGGTTAGTTCCAGATATTTGTCTATCTTCCCCAACAATAATATAAATTCTAAGAGGAAAAGACTATTTTATTTATAGTTGTATCTCCAGCATCTAGATGACTACCTAGCAAACAGCAGGCACACAGTGTTTTTTGATTGAATTCCTAATTCTCCAGTGAATTAACCCAGTGAAGAATGTCTTGGTATGGCACAGGCCTTGCAATAGTCCTCAGTGGCCTGGAAACCTTAGATCCTGACACCCACCCACCAGACAGTGAGAAAATACAGAACTAAGAACTGAAAGTGGGGTAAAGCCTTAGCAGTGATTCTACTACAGCAAATCCTCAAGACTCACCTACATTCAATTGCTCTAGACTTTACAGCCTACTGGTAGTTCATGGCCTGGTGGCACCAATAAGCATAAATACACTCCTTTTGAGCTTGGCTAAATAGAATTAAACATCAGACTTTCTCTTCAAATGGCCCACCTAAAGACAGTTAAAAATCAAATCCGTCTTATGATCTAAATTATCTCAAGCATCTCAGGAAAATATAAATATTCTGAGTAATTAAAATTTACACAGACTTTTGAATTATTCTTTATGGTAACATCCTATGCAGTTTTCTTTATCAGCAATCTCCTTAAACTTTGTCAAATGTTCTATGCCTTCATGGTTATAAAACACTTTGCGTATCATTCTTCAGCAGTAGGTTGGCAACAAAGTTGTGCTCTAAAAACATCCACTTCTAAAACTAAAGCTGAACAGATTTTAATCTTTAAACTGGAAGTAACATGGCTTAAAATCTTTGAAACTCAATCTCTAAAACATCCTGTACAGACATTGAAAACATTCACTAACATATAAATTAAAATCTATTCAGCTTTTTTTTTTTTTGAATTTTTTTTTCAACGTTTATTTATTTTTGGGACAGAGAGAGACAGAGCATGAACGGGGGAGGGGCAGAGAGAGAGGGAGACACAGAATCGGAAACAGGCTCCAGGCTCCGAGCCATCAGCCCATAGCCTGACGCGGGGCTCGAACCCACGGACCGCGAGATCGTGACCTGGCTGAAGTCGGACGCTTAACCGACTGCGCCACCCAGGCGCCCCAAAATCTATTCAGCTTTGATCTCGAGGATTGATAGATATAACTGGAGCACAACTCTACTATCTGAGATGCTGGTGGTGAGGAAAAGACCAGTATTGCCCCAAATCCCTTAACATTTTAACAAATCTTTCAGATATAAATTCCTAAGTGGCATGTATTGTAGATTTGAAATGTTTGCTTTATAGTTTAAAAAAAAAAAAAAAGAATAAGAA